GCCTGCCGGCACCGGGCCCCGTCCTCCCTGTCCAGGGGCTCGGCCAGATCGTCGGGGAGAGGTTCTACCGCCCCCGCCCCAAAGAGGCTCCACGGAGGCATCCAACCAAGAGGCCCCCCCGAGAGACACCAGGCGGCCTCCAGAAGGCCTCTGGTCCACGACCCAGGCACGGTGGCGGGATGGTCCGAAGGCCACTAGATCCGCCGCCCCCGTTTGATTTAGCAAAAGGGGTGCCTGGCGTGCTGAACCCTACCGGTTTTGGTTTTGGTTCTTTTTCCAAGAGGACTCCCCGAACGCTTTCCAAACCGATTCGGGGAACACGTGGTCCGATAGCTTGGCAGGCCTCTGGCGTCAACGTTCGGCTACATAGGCGCTTCCAAAAAGGCAAGGGGCGGCGGTGATTCGCCGTAGGCGTCTTCGATCCGCCACCCCCTGTTGGCTTATCACCAGGGTGCCCGGCGTGCCAAGGTGCTGATGTTTTCTGGTTCTTTTTAGAACCCCCCCTGGGGCCTCGAGATGGCCCAAGATGGCCTCCAAGACGGCCCAAGAGAGTCCAAGATGCCTCCATGTCCGCCCAGGAAGCCACCAAGACAGCCTCACCAAGACGGCTGGGGTAACACGTGGTCCCACATTTTGGCACAGCTCTGGCCACAACGTTCGGCCACATGGGCGATTCCAAAAGGCAGGGGGGCGGCGGTGACTCGCCGTAGGCGTCTTCGATGGACCGCCCCCTGTTGATCGATCATAAGGATGCCTGGCGTGTTAAATGTCTGATTCCTTTTTGTCCTTTTATTGCGCCGGGGTGCGTGTCTTCAAGACGGCATAGATGCCTCCAAGACGGCCAAGATGGCCCCAGGAGAGCCCAAGATAGTCTCATGGCCTCCAAGACGGTCCCAAGGTGCCTCCAAGATCACCAAGATGGTCCAAGATAGCCCAAGACGGGCCAAGAAGCGCCCGAGAGGCCCCGAAGATGGCCCAAGAGGCCTCCAACGGGCCCTCAAGGAAGGCCCGAAGACGCCAACGTCATTGACTTGCATTGCGCGTTTTTCAAGAAAGTTTGCATTTGCTTCTTGTCGGCCTTCCAACGGCCCGAGGCGGCCCCAGAGGCCCCCAAGATCGCCCCAAGATGGCCCCAAAGACTTCTAAGATGACCCCATGACGGCCCAAGAAGCCTCCAAGTCGGCTCCAAGAGGGCGCCAAGGCAGCCCGAGAGGCTCTCGGTGGAGCCCCCATATGGGGCCACGAAACCTTGTACTGGGTGGGCGAAACGCAGGGACCAAGGGCCGTGTTGGGTGGTGGCGGACGCATGCGGGCGGTGCCACTGGGACCTTCGGTGGAGCCCCCTGTGGGGCCACGAAACGCTGTACTGGGTCGGTCAAACGCAGGGAGGAGGGAGGAGGGGGAGGAGGGAGGGGGGGGAGGAGGAGAAGAGGAGAGGAACGTGGGGACAGTCTCTTCAAAACGAGGACCCAACACCACAGGATGGTTGGGAACAAGACAGACTCCGCCAGAAGTGGTCTAAGAACATTTCAGGGAACCACAAAAGGTTCTGAACATTGTTTGGTGGGGTTGTAAGCACGCCAGGACGCTTCGCAACTGCTTGACTCAGGGGTCCTCGATCCCGTTCGGATATGACACCCGTGCACCCCGACGCACCCATCCCTGCTTCATCGAGGGTGTCCCCTCCTCATCTTGGGCATCACCAGCATGGCCTGCAACAGCTCCATCAGCTGCGCAATCAATTGAGACACGCCGCCATCCTCCGAATCAGAAGCGACGAGTGCCATGTAAGACGTAATGAGAACCAGGAACAGATAATTGTCGTATGGCCGATCACGCCCCCGATCGCAACCATCAATCACGCAATCAGATCACAACTCAAAAAGCCAGCATCAAACACGTGAGCCGCTTAAGTCGAGAGCATGAACGAACGCTTGCTATCGATGAGTCGTGCGCCCATCATGCGATGGCAAAGCCGCAGCGACGAAAATTCGCTGTAGGACCGCACAATGAGCCAATGGTAATCTCGAGTGTTCTCATATGCTGAAGGACTGGGAACGCACAATGCCTTCCTGAGCAGCCAATCATCATCGTGTAGTTGTGCTCGGCGGCACACAATCTGCGATTACAGCGACTGCGCTCTTAGCCAACGAAAGACAGGACCTTGAGATAAGGTGAACTATCGAATGTTATGACGGGAGGCGCAAGGGCGTTCCAAATGCGTATCCACCACCGTGCCGAGTGGAAAGTGGTAGACTGGTGCTATGCCAGGGCTGTCCATGAAGTCGCAAGAGGCCCCAAGGTGGCGCCAAGACCCCCCAAACGGCCCCCCAAAGGCCACAACATGGCCCCGGGACGATGCAAGGACCCCCGAGATAATCATAAAATAACCCAAGACAGCCCCACGCTGGATGCCCCAAGACAGCCCCAAACTTCCCCAAGAGCCTTGTATGCGGACGCGTTCCCCAGAGGCCCAAAAGAAGCTCCCAGGGAGCCCTCCAGCAGGCTCCTGGGAGGCCTAGGACAGGCATAAGTCCCCTTGGGCAATCACATGCTACCGCACTCTCTCCACTGGGGAAACGAGCTACTACATGTCACGGCCCCCTGGGACGCGGAGGCAGAGAAATGTCACATGTCTGGACCATCTTGGCCATGAGACAGACACCTGCCGAACGTGGCGGTCTTCCCGAGCCTGCGGGAAGCATACCGTCGGTTGGCCTGCCTCGGTGTCGGTTCTTGCCTTGCGCGCGGACCAGGCGAGGCGAAGCTTCGCGAGTGCGAGGCAGGTCCGTCCCTAGCTGGGGGCAGGTCGCGTCAGAATGCTTCGCCGTGCCCGGCACGTGTGCCCCGAGGCTGTCCCGTCATTTTCCCGAGATTGTCCCGCAATCCCGTCCGGTCATCTCGATTCGTTGTGCCGCACAGTTGTGCCGTGCGGTCGTGCCGTGGTTGCCCCGCGCGGCTGTCCCGTCCAATTGTCCCGTGGTTGTCCCGCGGCTATCCTGTGGCTGTCCTGCTATTGTCCCGTCGTTGTCCCTTGGCCCGTTGTCCATGGCTGTTTGTTCTTTTCTGACAGCACCAGGGGCCACCAGGGGCCTGAGGGCCTCGGACACAGCAGGAACGCAACAACTCGCTAGACAGTCCAATGGCAACCTCACCGTGCCCGTAAGGTGGACCCCGAAGTTCTGCCTTGCTGGGAAGGGCAACGCCCAGCGCAAACACACACACCAAAAACCAACAGGCGGCACATCGCCGGCAGCCCGAATCTTCACAGCAAATGCGCGGTTCATGGCGAGAGGAGCAGAAGGGGTACGAGGCGGAGGAGGAAAGGGGAGGAGAGGGGATGGAAGGGCTCGGGCGAGATGTGCTAGGGCTCCCCGGGGGCCCCGACAGCACTCCGGGAGAGGCCCCAAAAAGCGCCCCGAGGGGCGGTCCTTCGCCCACGGGCGCCGCGGGCTTTTGAGCAGCTGGCCTCAGGGCTGGACTGGCCCCACAGAGAACCCCAAGAAGGCCAGAAGGCTTTGCAGAATGGCCGCAAGAGGGCCTCAAGACAGCGCCAAAGAAGCATCCAGAGGCATCCAAAAGAGGCTCCCCGAGGACTGAAAGCAAGCAACTGGTTTCACCTTTTCTGGGTGTTGACTGGTGTCTCCCATGCCCACTTTGTTCTCTGCGGTTCATCCGCTTCCTTCTCGCATGCCTCGCCTAGGAAGCACTTTGAGGATGGGTGCGTGGGGATACGTCTTTCGCTCGCGAGCGACGCAGAATGCTGCGCGCCGTCCATGGGGTCGAAGGCAGGAGTCGAGCACAGGGCAGCAGCCGCCGGCGACGCGCGGAAAAATGAACAGGCGAACCACAGCGGCGACGCCGCTAAGAGGCGGGGGGAAAGACAACAGAGAGAGAGGGCGAAAAGAAGAGAAACAAGAGAGACAAGGAGGAGAAGACGAAAATGCGTGGGGATACTTTTCGGTCGCGGCCACGAGACAAAGGTCAGGCGGCGAGAAGCAAAGTCCGGGACACGAACGAGGCAAATTAGCTACAGCAGGCACAAGCCAGCCGATGCGTGGGGATACGCGAAATACTAAAAACAAAAAATGCACTTTACCCCAAACAAGGCCCGCACCGACGACGCCTTATTTGCGTTACCAGGTCGCTGGCCTGCACTGCGGGGCGTCCGCCAGGGGGCCGCCTCGTGAGCGCCCCGTGTGCTGGCTGGCGCTTCCGGGGCTCCGGCCGATGGTCGCCCGTGGGTGGGCGCCCCTTGGTGATGGGCCCCTTCTCCACCACCACCAAAACCACCACCATGAGTTGGACGGGGGAAGGAGGTGGAGGATGAGGAGGAGGAGGAGGAGGAGGAGGAGGATTCACTGCATGCTGCTACAATGAATCCTCCTCCTCCTCCCTCCTCCTCCTCCTCCTCCTCCTCCTCCTCCTCCTCCTCCTCCTCCTCATCCTCCACCTCCTTCCCCGTCCAACTCATGGAGGAGGAGGAGGAGGAGGAGGAGGAGGAAGGAGGAGGAGGAGGAGGAGGAGGAGGAGGAGGAGGAGGAGGAGGAGGAGGGTGGGCACCCCTTGCTGATGGGCCTCTTTTCCACCACCACCACCACCATGAGTTGGAGGGGGGGAGGAGGTGGAGGATCTGGCTGGATCTGGCAGGCCTGATCACCGCAGTTGCGAGGCACGCACCGCGGCGACGACAGAGAGGCCGCCCCTCACAAGTCGGTCTTGGGGGCGCCACGCATCTGAACCTCACGCCGGGCTGATCCCAACACTGTAGCTGATGCTCCGTCCAGCGGGAGGTTGTGGTTTGGCCACGGCGCCACCGAGCCTGATTGTCGTTCCTTCGATCCCCAGCGTAGTAGCTAGTGACATTGGGCTCCAACTTCGCCTTCCTCTATCGTATGTAGGGTCGGCCGGCACGTCTGGCTAGAATCGGCCTCCAGCTTCGCCACCCGCTTCTCGCACTTCTCGCAGAGTAGGGGTAGCAAGTCGGGCTCCGATTCCGCCTACAGCATTTTACAACTCGTCGGGTAGCTGATGGCATTGGACTCGACCTTCGATCGCCATGCCCAGGACATCGGGCTCCAACTTCGCCTCTCGCTTCTCGCCGTATGAGTAGGACGTTGGGCTCCATCTTCACCTCCGGCTTTCCAACTCTCGTCGGATGCAGCTGATGGCATCGGGCTCGACCTTCGACAGCCTTCGCACGTCGGGCTCTCGTCGCGTCGAGTGCAGCTGATGGCGTCGGGCTCGTCCTTCGCCTTCTTCCTGCGTCGCTCGTTGTCCCGCGTTGCCTCCCGCTTTTCGCGCGCTGATCGCACAGCGGCTCCAGGCGGATGGCGTCGGGCTCCAGCTTCGCCTTCCCACTTCTCGCACATTGCCCTCGATCCCAGCATTGTAGCTGAACGCGTCGGGCTCTACCTTCGCCTTCCGCTTCGGCGTCGGTGTTTGGGTCGGGCTCCGCGTCGGGCTCAACCTTCGCCTGTCGGGCCTCGTAGCTGATGACGTTGGGCTCGACCTTCGTCTTCCCTCTCGCTTGGTGCCGCGGCATCGCCTGCTGCCGCTGCTCGCCGAGGGAGGGGTTGGTGTTGCGGACTCCAGCTTCGCCTCCCGCTTCTCGTATTGAGGCTTCCTGCCGCTGCCCGCTTTTTGTGTGGCGTCTCCCGCACGAACTGGTCTCAACTATGTAGCTGATGACGTTGGCCCGCACGTTCTCGCCTGGCACGGACGGCTCCCAGCACGGCTGATCGTGGCTCGCCCGCGCTTGTCTGCCTGGCGGGTGGAGGAGGAGGAGGAGGAGGAGGAGGAGGGGGAGGGGGACGAGCGGAGGAACGGAGAGGGGGCGGGGCAACCCACCTTCTTGATGGCTCCCTGGCAGCTGGACCCGCGCTCGGTCGTGGGCTGCCAGGGCTGACTCGACGTTGCTCCCGGGGCCATGGCCACTCTCAAATTGGGCCCATCGGAACACCCTGGCCCCCGCGCCCGAGACCTTGGGTGGAAAATGGCTAGGAGGTGGAGGATGAGGAGGAGGAGGAGGAGGAGGAGGAGGAAGAGGAGGAGGACCCCCTCCCCCTCCCGCTTATGGCGGTGGCGGTGGAAAACAGGCCCACCACGTGCGCGGGGTGGCGCTTCCAGCCTTCGGCCAGTGAGCGACCGTGAGCGCCTTGGGGGCGCCCTCTGCGCTGGCAGGCATCTTCTAGGTGGACGCATACCGCACCGCAGAACGCGCACCGCATAGACGCACCACATAGCTTGTAGCCCAGGTCTGTCAACACGCAGTTTGCACCACCAGCATTGCAACAACATGGGCTGCACTGCACATCCTGCAACGCAAATATGCCGCATACTACGCAGAGTGTGGCACTAAGACAGCACGTCAAGAAGATACGAACCCACTGTTTGGAGTCCTTGGAGCGGCGAGGCACGTTAAAGATCAACGTACGCTTACGACGACAGAGAGGAGGAAAACCGAGCCCTGGGCCATCAGACGGGCTCTAACCACTGTGTGCGCATCAAGGTTAAAGATCCCACCACGAGAATGCTCAATTTGCACCAAGCCACATATGTCCGTGCACGCAACTCGGCGTACCGCATCGCCACTGGGAAACAAGCGCTGGAAAGGTCGATTGCATTGCGTACCCAACCTACCGCACGTGTTCTCGCGCCACTCAAAGAACTAGCACAGTGCAAGTGGAGATCTACACCCAAGACTGATGCACTCGAGATAGATCTACCGAGGGTAATTGAAACAACATATTACACGCATCTAGCACGCCACGTGAATATGATACCTCAGCAACAGATCATATGCTGTCCGGGTCGCCTGACGGACGACAAGAAGCGTGATATGAGCCAGCACGTGGTATGGTGGTTTCATCCTGCCTACGGGCAGGCACTTCCTGCTACGGAAAAACGTTCGAGTTGGCAGAGGAAACGACTGAAAGGCGTACCTCGAGGAGAAACAGCGGGAAACAATCCTCCTCGCTGGCGCCACCATCGTCTGCTAAGATCACGGCCTCCTCGTACCCGGGCTGGATCCTCAACCGCCGATCAGAGGAAAGCGACACCAAGCTTGAGATTGCAACACCCACGCGAACTGCATTTTCCGTTGTCACAGGCGGGGGGGTCTACTACAGCACTCCGTCACAGTCCAACCCTTGCAATTGAATTCTTAAGGGCCTGCTTCCAGAGCGATGCATCTCATCGTGAAGGCGAGTGGCGCGCACGTGAAGAAGGCATCGGGCCCGATCCAGGAAGCGCGACGTTTGCTGTTCACACTTTCTGTCTGCACGCCGTCGCAATGCACTCAACGGGTCAGACAGCCGGTGCGCTGGCAACGCGAACCCCAACACTAAGGGGACAAAAAGAAACCGATACGGCTACTGCCGGGACATCTCAATGGGTGCGTTCTGACCCAGATTCCGAAGCGGATCCAGCCGTGGCGACGAGGGCCCCCCAGGAGACCTCAAAAAACGAAAACGAGTGAGGTGTATCGGTAGCCCGCTGCCTTCTCCTCTGAAGCACAGCACGACCCCGAGACCACGTATCACGAAAGTGTTCTTAGTGTGCAGCGCGACCGTCAGATAAAGAGTAGCTGGATAGAGAGCCTAGAGTCTCTCGGCCGATCGGTGGCTATATCGTGGCATGGTCATCGGTCGTCCACGCCGCCTTGTCAACCTGAGTGGGGACAAGAACGGGAAGCGCCGCTTCTTCATGGGAAGACATCGGCGGTGAAAAACGTGCAGGAAAAATGGCTTCATGGCTGTGGTCCCTCTCGGGATGCCGTGGGGCCGTCGTGGATGGCATCTGGATATTTTGAGGCGCCCTCAAAGCAGCCCTGGGCGCTCGGGGGCCCATTCCAGGCCTCTCGGGGCCCTCCTGAAGAGACCTCTTGGGGGGCGTGTTGATGATCTCGTTGTGCCCCCTGGGGTCGCAAGGAGCGTCTCTGGAGCACCTCCTGAGGTCGCAAGGAGCGAAGCACCCTGGCTGCGCCGAGGGGTATCTGCAGAATGCCCGCCGATGACCATCACGTATCTTCAGGATGCCCGCCAATTAGCATATCCAAGACACGCGTCCAAGCCGAGCTCCGGGATACCCGCCGAAGGGCATCGCCAGAATATACCTGGGGAGCGGCATCTCCAGCAGGCGGCAGGTTCGTGTCATGACGCCCTCGGCGCCGTTTTCTGACGCCGCGCGGATCTCCAAACCTTGAAACCCTGGACGATCGGCACGCCTTTCGATCCCCAGTTCGTTCCACGCTCTTGGGCCGTCTTGGAGGCCTCGTGCGGGCCTGTTGCGCCGTCGTGGCCCATCTCGAGGCCCTCTTGGGCCGTCTTGGAGGCATCTCGGGGCCATCTTGGCCGCCTTGGAGGCCATCTTCGGGCGTCTTGGAGACGTCTTGGAGATTGGCCGACTCCAGGCCACGGGCGGCAGTCGGCCTCGAGCGCCCGCGCGGGGGGTCGCAGCCGCGCCGGCGCGGCACGAGCCTGCCGCACCCCCGCCGCCGGAAGGGAGGCACTGCGCGCCGAGCGACAGAGCTGCAGGAGGCCCGGCTCCGCAGGCGCCTCGGGGCACCGGGGTGAGAACGGCGTGCGACCGGGGCGCACGCTGCGATTCTCTCGCTTCGACCTCGTCCTCGTCCTCCTCGACAGGACCTGTCTGGGAGGGGGAGGGTCGGCCCCCCGCCCCCGCCCCTCCACTCGGGCCCTCTCGAGCCGTGCCCGCATCGCCGCCTCTTGGTCTGGAGGTCTCGGGGTTTGTGGAGGTCCCTGGAGCTCGATAGGAGAAGGAGGAGGAGGAGGAGGAGGAGGAGGAGGATAGAGCTTTATGGAGCTTGCAGAAGCTCTGGGCGCCCGAAAAGTTCGAACAACAGTTCCACACGCGCACACACACAAACAAAAACGCGTAGTCGAGGAGGGGGTGGATGGGGGCGCAGCAGGCGGACGCTCAGGGCTGCCCTCATCAACCCTCTCCTCCGTCGGCGTCTTTCCCTTCCGCGGCCCCAGCGTCCCCTCGCCAGAGAGGGCGGCCCCCGAGAAACCTGCGCGAGGAAGCGGGGTCTGCCTGCGGGCTCCCTGTTCCAAGTGCGGTCGCCCCTCCGCTCCTCCCCTCCTTCTCCCCCTCATCACACCCCTCCTCCTCCTCCTCCTCCTCCTCCTCCTCCTCCTCCTCCTCCTCTTTCCGCTTTCCGCTCCTCTGACGGCGGCCCCCGAGGGAACCACCGCAATCCGAACGCCTCCACAACACGCCGAGGAAGCCTCGGGACTGCCTACACACTCCAGGCTCCCTACTCCGAATCCTCCCAGCGGATGTCCCGCCTCTCGCCCAAAACCTCATACAGCCCCCGAGCCCACCCGACGCGTCGGGGATGGAGAGGGGGCTGCACGGGGCAAGAGCGGGGGATGGGCCGCTTGGAGGAGGGGTCCAGCCCCTGCTTTAATTGTCGCAAGGCCCGTGCTCGGCCATCCGTGGGGTGTCCTGCGCAGCGGTCCGCGAGGGCCAAAATCTGCCGTCTGGCATAGGCCCCGCACAAAGAGCACCACACAAGACCGCCAGGACCCCCCGAGCACAGGAGCCTGTGAGACCAATGTGCCTGAGCGAGCTTAGCCATGACACCAGGGCACCTGTCGTGCACCAGCCTGGCTCGAGTCGAGCAGCTGCGGCCACAACACAAACACACCCAGCGGCCTCCTAAGCACTTCGCCTGATGCCCTTTGGGATCCGACACGAGCTCGAGCGGATCGAAAGCGCGACGGAGCCGAGGCTTAAGAGCATCGGGGAAAGAAGAGGCGGCGAGGTGCGCGAGGATCCTGCCAGAGTAGAGGGCAACGAAATAGGCCGACCACCACAAAAGCGGCCTCAACTCCTCTCTCGAGCAACCAAGTCCACGCATGCTGGAAAAAGGAGCGACGTGGTAGGCACGCATAGCGCTGAGCGCGCGCGCGGCTGCTCACATGGTCGACTGCGAAGAGGAGGAGAGGAAACAGCGGGTGCTGCGAGTGGCGCCGAGCGCTTGGTTTACCGCACGGCTGACCGCCAACCCGTGTTTAACGAATGACAACTTCGCAGCAAGAACGAGTAGCAGTTGCAAACTCGATGAAACGAGCGGTGTTCGGAAGCGTTCGCTGATCAGAAGAGTCAATCGTACGCTGGATCATGACTGAAGTTGCAATCCAAAGTCGCACAATTAAGAAATACGATGGAACTCGCTGGTGGCAAACGGTATGTGCCGATGCGGTGTCGATGTGCACCCCAGGACTCGCACGGAGGCTGCTCGGAAGTCGCGCAAGCACGTCTGAAACATTACGAGACTCTGTGGTACACCCTGACTTGTAAAGAGAGGCAGTTCAATGCGTTCGACAGAACCACAACAGTAGTTTGAATGCATCATGCGTAA